AATCCGCTTCTTAAGAATAGCATCCTGGACTGCAAATTTAATACTAATCGTAGTGGCCATCAGCATCTTACCTGTTTCCTGGCCTCCCTCGAGCCTTCTTTGTGACATGATTTAAACTATATTCACAGCGAGTTTGATCGAGACCCTACTTCGGACAAGCTGTTTCCACTCTGTGTTGGCACCGTGCTCCTAGCATGTTCACTGCCGCAACTGTCTTCAGTTTCATCCAGAACACGAGCTGATTTCAGGTTGTCACTAGTACCCAGGCTTTGCGATTTGGACCTGCTCCCATACCATTATTGTCCAATGCTAGTGCGCAGACATACTGGGCACCTAAGCAGGCGGACGGCTGAGGTCCATAAAGCGAAACCCAAGCTAGCGACCACTAGAGTTTGACCAAGCGCAATTCCGGGACTTGCGTGAGCCTAGCTTCGGTGTAACCAGCTGTTACCAAACCGTCCCTAAATGGCGATCGCTTTGAGCCGAAGGTGGCTTTGAGTGCAACAATTAGGCTGGCATTTCTTGGTGTATAGTTGGCTATACCACTGGTTCATTTCAGACTAATCTCAACGAACATTGTGGAATTGTGTGCATGTGCACATCACTGAATGAAATCTGGCTGCCATATGCACTAAGTTGAGTAGCTTTACGGAAGCATATGAGATCCTTGAAACGTAGCTGGAATGTACTGTGGATGCAAGTGACTGGGAAAAGGTGTGCCTCTTCTATACCGACGGTATCTTGTGGACTTTAGCACATCGGCTGGAAGCTGAAGGAAAATGGCTATCCAAGTGATAGTATGGAAGTCAAGCTGGTGTGTTGCAACCAAGCGAATGAAACCTTTAGGGCCAAAGTACAAGGGTGATCTCTGCACAGAACTCCAAACGTGTATCCTTTCTCCCGGATTCAGGCACACATTTCCAGCGGCAGAATGCAAATCTACCTCACCGGTATCCGTAGTGAAAAGAGACCAATCTACTCTAAGCAAGTGGCATTTACTATTTCTGTCCCTGTGGTACAAGTTACATTGGTCGTACGACAGAGCACCTGCTTGACAGTATGAAGAAACATCATTTTGTCTGGCTCGTAACTCTGTGTTGAAAATCAATCAACTGTTCCCATTAGTCCAACATCCCGCAGATACAGGCGATGTCAAGATATTGGCCTATTCATGCAAATCTCAGCTAGCAGACTTCTAGTACACGACCAAAACACATCGCTAGACGTTTCTTACAAACGGCTGGTGACAATGCGGTCCGGCAGCACACAAAAATGGTTACTCATACGTTAGAGCCACCTTGACACAAAGAAGCTGAGACACCTGGAACGCTAAGCTCAACTTGAAACTGGACACATTGCACATATAATTTCACTGACACGCAGACGCATTGTTGAACACCTGTCACCTTACATCCGTCAATGGCAAATTTTACTACCGTGTGACTACTTCTTTTCAAATAGTACTGTTAAATTACTTGGCAAAGAAGTGCGCCCAGGTGCCAGATGTTTGCCTAACCATGGGGCCACGTATACGCTTGATGTTCACGGCTTACGCACAGCCACAGTCCAACGAGTGCAGAGCTGCAGTTCTCTAATATCTCACTGGATACACAGTGCTATTTCCATTAACAATGGGGCAAAAATTTCTTCGGTGTTTTATTGGGATCCGAAAAAGTGGACAGCATCACTCCAATTGGTAACTATCTGCTACCCAAGCTCGAATGGCTTGATGGATTGCTTGCCATCGAGAACCATTCCGCAACACAAAGGTTGAAGTGGAAACAGTAGCTGAGCGATTATCAATTATTACACAACCTTAAGTCGTCAAGATTGACATAGATATCGCTGGGTCAAACAATCACAGCCATATTATGCGTCAAAGCCACAGTATATTGCTTACTATGAGAGGCTGAGCACTGTTAGTGGAAAAGGCTGTTCTAACTGGCAACCGAAATGAGCATGTCATCCGTTACGCTAAGGATTTAATTTCAGTTATGCTGAAAACTTTGTGTGCTGTGTTCAGGTAGTGGAACAGAGAGCTAATCCACTATAGCTATGGTACTCCAACTTATGACAATGTAGAGGCACGTTTGAAGAAACCTACGCAAGGTACCCGGTTGTTTGAGAGGTTTTGCGAAATCCCAAACGGAGCAAGGTCATTAGACAGCATATGCTAAAGCCTATTATCGTACTAGTTTCTATTTATACGCTACACGGATGGATAGAAGTTTTGGACATCGTCTAATAAAATGAAGATTTTAACATGGAAAACGCAAGCATCAGTTCGTACGTGAATGGAGGATACACAACTCAAACGAAGCTGCCTACAAGATTAATCCCGACTCAGGGACTTGGGGCAATTTCCTGACCCATCGCAACCACTGCCCTGAACGTATCCGTGAGGACAAGGTAACTTATCAACAGTGCCTAGCCAAAAAATTCATGACAAACAACAAACTGCTATATAGGCATGTCAATAATCTTCGTAAAGTGAAGCATGGAATCCTTCCACTTCTCACGACAGACGGTAGAGTACAAAGCGTCGAAGAAGAAACGAATGCCCTACGGCTACAATACACCCCAATTTTCGAAATCGCAGCCTCTACCTTTCCTATAATGTCACGCACATTACCGACTCCACTGTTCACACATGTAATTTTCAACCCAGCAATTGTGCTAAGGAAGTTACTCTCACTGTGCCATCATAGTTCTCCGGGAGCAGACAATATCCGCCCGAAGGCACTGAAGGCTGTGACCAACAAGCTAGCTGAACCACTGTCACATTTGTCCAAAGGTGCTTTGACGAACAACAAGTCCCCACTATGTGAAAGCATGGCATTATCATCCCAATTTTTAAAGGCGGTAGCCGTTCAGAGCCTGCAAACTATCGCCCAGTGACTCTCCTCCCTGTGCTCGCGAAGGTGATGAAAGCGGTGGTCGCTGAGGCTTTAATGGACTACCTGAAAAATGCAACATCTTGGTACTGGAGCATCATGGCTTCCGTCAACACCGGTCATGCACCACCAACCTACTGATTGCACGATGTAGTTGAACGGAAGTGGCTGATGATGGGATAGGAGTTGACGTCATCTAACTGGACTTATCCAAAGCTTTTGAGCGCCTGGATCACCGCATCCTACTTCACCGCCTACTGAGCTACGGAATCGGAGATCCTGTACTTGGTTGAATTGGAAGCTTCCTTTACCAACGGAAGCTTCAAGTGCGTGTTAGGGGAGTACTTTCTAACCTAATTGAAGTGGAATGTGGTGTACCACAAGGTTCAGTGCTGGGACGGCGCTTATTCCTGGTGTTTATCAATGACCTGGCAAGAGTTATCTCCTCCAATTACTTGTTTTTCGCAGATGAGGTCAAGATATGTTGGGCGATTAGGAACAATGAAGATCACCATCTACTCCAACATGGTCTAGATTGCATTTACGAATAGTCAATGAGGAACCTGCTACACTTGAACATAGCTAAGTGCAAGATGATCCATCTGCGTTGCCAGCCGGTGAGCGCTTACAGTCTTGGCGACCGCACCTTGGAGAAGGTCTCTCAGGAGCGTTAACAGGATGTATTGGTACAGGAAGTTCTCGGGTGTGTGAAACAAACAAAGAAGGCAATAAGAACCGGCAATCGACACTTCGGTCTTCTTCACGGAGCCTTCGGTTGGTTTGAGCCCTCAATCTTTCCCAAAATGGTTAACGTCTAAGTGCGACCGCAAGTGGAGTATGCTAATCAGGCCTGGCAGCCGTGGCAGAAACAAGATCTTTTTGCTTTTGAGACTCCTCAACGATGGGCAACCAAGAACGTCAGGGGCTTCTCATCTGCCCTATCAGCTTAGACTGAAATCTCTAAGAATGTACAGCAGAGGATTTCGGATTTTTCAGGGGGATATCATAATGTTTTACCAGATATTGAAGAACCCAAACCACATACTTCGTCCGCTGCTGAAAGTGAACCACAACACTAACCTAAGAGATCATTTGCTGAAACTGACAATACAGTATGGCCGGCTTAAATGCCGTAGAAATTACTTTTCCGTACGCGTGTGCTAGACTTGGAACGCCCTACCTAATTATGTCGTCTCTCCTCCCAATCTGGCAATATTCAAAAAACGTGTTGACGATGCATTGTCTCACTTACATTTATGTTATGAATTGTTAGCCATAGAATACCAAACGCACTTAAACGGTGTCTTGCCGAACTTCCAACCAATAGATTTATGGATTTATACTTTTAATATGCGAAGATCTCCATTATTCTACATAAGTCTATGTTAAGTCCACCACAATGCTTTTCACTTTATCATGCAAGTCACTTTTTGCAATAATTTCCATCCCACGGGACTTGTTAAGCAATGCTTTTTACCTGTAATAAACAATTGTTCCATTGTTCCACGCAATCTAACCATCGTGCTTGTTGCGACTTAAACGGAGCTCAAGTGTAAAATTAAACTTTAGTGACTGAGACCTACAGCATCCGAAAACGAGACTTAGATCTCACCAAGGTGCATTCCAGCAATTAGTCTTTCACTGATATGGCCCAGTTCTAATGAGTATAACTCTTCCGAAAAAGTACCACACACTTCTAACATCCTACTAGCCATAGAGAGAGTGTAGTAACCAATAAAACAAGTAATCATTTAGTATCTCGTATAGTTGGATTTTATCGATTGCTTCACTTTGTAATTAGCCATTTGTTTCAGCTAAAGCATTTCTTTGCCACCTGCCTTATTCCACGAGATCTGCACTACAATTTTGTTGCTATCGCTTACTTACCTCGCATCCATGTAGCTCCGTACTGTATACATTTGATCGACTCAATTTGCATTTTCTACATTATAACTTGTTTGACACTTCTCTTGCCTGTCGCAAGTAGAGATTCGTGTCTGCAGCACAAACCGACAAATTGTGCCAATTCTCGAAAGTGTACTTATTATGTATATGGACCATTGCAGGTGGTTTAAAACGACATAGCTCTATAGAAAGGATACTTACCCATTATCTTGTTTCCAGCTGAAATGTAAATTGCATTGTTCCGTGAATCATGCGAAAGCGACCACGTTTATCCAAATATCCTCGCACAAAATTTTGCAGCCTATGTAACATAACTGGGACTTACGTAACTTGAATTCACGATATACCAACAGTTCTATTGGGTACAAGATGTCTCCAAAAACCGCTCGAAAACATCATCGCGTAATTTTGAGCAGTAAGTATAAAGGAAAGTTCTGAGTATTCTTTTCACCTTGTGCTATGAGAGCATCCGTATGAAAATCGTTATGAAATGCTGGGACTCTACACACTATCCTACCGCCGAGTAAGGATACACCTCATTATGACCCATCAAGTTCTACATTCGAAGCACTTCCACATACTGCGGCTAATATTTTACCTGCGGGAACCCTGTAGCACATGAGGATACCGTTACAAACTCATGGTCCCCTGCATACACAAGGTATCGCATCAGCTTTGTATAGAACGAAGAATCGTAAATTTATGGAATACACTACCAGAAGGATCAATAGAGGATGATTCTCTAAAGTGTTTTAAAACCCGTATCGACGATTCCTTCCGAAACGTGTGCTTCTGTGAAATGGTGCACATACAATACCAACATACATCGTATACTCGGAAATAATGACACCAATAGGAATTCCTAATAGAATAATTGTAAATGAGCAACTGACCAAACACTAGCACTGACGACCCGCAATTAAAGGTTTGATTTTTAATAATTCGATAGAGATGTACATAAATCTTTCTACTTGCTCTTATATACAGTCTCCTAGTCTCAGTCTCAAGTAATTCATTGCACAAATTTCCTTTGACAAAAATGCTTTAAAACCAACGTGAAGTACAAACTTACGGAATGGTGGCACAGGTTTGGTGGCAGCTGAAAGAAGACAGAAAGCCAGGTTAATAATAAAAAAGCTCAATAGTTGAGTAATATAAACATGGCTTCGTGCTACAAGAATAAGGAGACCTCATGTGTCTTCAGTCAGAAAGCGTTCCTTGTCATCACTAACATGACTGAGAAAATTTTGTTCACATTGCTCGAAATGCACATTCACCAAACACCCATTATGTAAAGCAGATGACTTACTTTCATTTGTCACTGAAGTAAGATAAAAACCAAGGAAAGCAGCGTTCAGACATATATTGCATATTAGGTACCAATTGCATCATTAGTTTTTAATGCTTACACAAATTGGTCGCATAACCTCCCGAGGTTTAGAAACTGAGGCCACTCCTCTAAGCTATACATCATAATGATATTTCACGGTACGATTATTAAATACAAACAACGATGTACATATTGTGCTATGCCTCTAACCGTGTTAATATCTGGTGTACTTATGTTTCATCGTGACACGGAATGAAAGGTGTCCCGGTTCTTCGTGAACATTCTTGCTCACAGACATACAAGCGTTTTACTCGGAGCCGGAGCATATTAAAATGAGCCTTTCTCTACTACCTAACTGGTGACAATGAATATGACAATTTTCGTAACATTCTTGTTTCGGAGTGAAAGTTTTTGTAACAAAACTGGAGAAACTGAACTGAACGTTTCCTGATTTGATCATTGATTTAGTAACATCCCATCAACAACAACCGGTTATCAGCGTGCTTAAAAGTTTCGACATGTGTCGGATAATCGCCCGTTACACTGCAGGTCCAAGTGAACACAGTAAAAGAACAGAATTTCATGCGAACTGCGTAATCCAGCCACTAACAACTTCTGACAGCCGCTTAACCGGAGAAAGGCTTGATTAACTATATTCATCGTATAATGGTTCCAAAGAACGAGGGATGGATGATGTGGCCGACAATGAACTGGCTAAAAGGAGGCAATATAGCAACAGAAAACAATACTAATGCAAAGCAACGTGCTAAGCTTTTTTCTGATAATATGTTGAAAATCAATTACCTCTTAGAAGCTGACTACCCCATGAACATTCACCCCATGGGGTTGATTAAAATCTCTGGCTACGCAACACAGGAAAACTTTCTCCCAAACCACTGAAAGAATGAAAGTGTCGACTGCTCTTTGGTTCATTACGTTAACTACTAAGTTTCATCTGCATACCGTTCCTAACAACCGAAGATTCTAAAGCTGCATTTAGTTCAGTGTTTGTTCAAATATAGGCGACGCCTATGAAATTTGCATTTGCTGTACTAGCATGCAAAAAATTATACTGCGGGATTTCAATGTCATACAGTACCAACCATCTTCAAAGGTCGTTGTCACAAGTGAAAAATTCACTTCCAGCATGGATGATTAACACTGTGAAAATCTTTGAGTAATGTGGACCTAGTGCTTGTCCGAACGTGTTTAACTAGAGAAACCAAACATATAAAAAGCCAGTCACAAAAGGTAATAATGGAAGTAAGTTAAATATAAAGCCAATATGGAAGACCCAGTTGAAGCACTGGCATCCAATTGTTTACCTTTGGAGAATTGAGCTTCGAACGGTCCTTTCGGTATCGTTATGTCTGAGATAAAAAGCGCAGTCATCTGATTCCCCGAGGAAACATATGTCGGTATGCTGCTGTTGACCACGGCAGCTATCCTTTTTGACATACAATCCTTACCGTCGAATAACAAAACATAATCCACGATTTGTTCCTCGAAGTGTTCCAACTGTAGATATATGATTAGTAGATTGAAAGTGTGGGATTATTTGAATCTACGAACCATCAGCAATCAGTCAAGGTCATTAGAATATTATAGCGCAACTGGTAATGATATACCGATGTAACGCATTTATGCAATCTGTCCAATACACTGTCGTCAGTAAAAACACTTTAAATATCGATGTTAATTAAAAGTGAAAACACATATCCCTCCGTTTCACTAGCATCGCAATACTGACATAATGGTAGAAATTCAAAATTTACCAAGCAATGTAACAGTCTAGAATGTCGATGCAAATACACCATATGGGGCTGCAACACTTTTCAAACGGCTTTTTTCTGACCACCGTTTAGTCGGCTTCATAAAAGGTTTGGACGTAGCTCAGCCCATCGTACTGGTTTCTTGATCATAGTGCTTTGTAATGTGTCCCTATGACGTGCATTATATGGAATTTAAGTCCCAATTTGTGCACAAACCTTCATGTAATCGGGCAAGAAATCCGATTATTAACTACACGAAGTATTATGTCCATATGTCCGTCGTACATTATTCAATCGGATGTTTAGATGTCCTGTCGCCTGAATGATTGGTATTTAACTTGGTTCTTTTGTGTATTCGTTGCCTCAAAACCCCCTCTCTGAACGACCTGCAGAACGTGTCAGGCCTATACATTTTCCCAATATAATACAGTATTTCACGGAACCCCTACTGTTTTCTTTCATGCATATTGTAGGTTTACCTGAGGTCATTCTGCATCATAATTTATCTTGCAGGCTTCTAATAACAAATAAAACATTTTCTACCACAATACTCCTTCCACATCGTAGACAAAATACTATGGTGGGTGCACAAATAGAATAAAGCCTATGCTTCAGCCAAGGTAAACGGGCTGTGAAATGCTATCGGGTGGTTACTGATAACCCAGCTACTGGGATATTGCTCTGAGTGCGTAATTAATTATGTAGGGTAAATTATTGAAGGACGAATTGTAAACATACCGAAGCGTTACGAAACGTCATTTTAACTGTTTCTCCGGGAGGAAGTTGGATAGCATAGTTGCAAAACTCCCCGTTCGCGTAGTTATTTGGATAACCGGGGCTTAGTATAGTGCGGTTCTTCGGACCAGAAAACGTATTGCTACATGAATTGCTGGACGGAAGAGCTAGAAAAAGATGTTTTGACTGGGTATTGGTTTTGCTTAGATGGATATAAAAGTAAAGAACAACTGACCACACAGCAACCAGACATTTGAGACAGTGTAAATATGTGTAGGTCGAAAAATTACGGAGCAAGATGCAATTACTGTAAAAATGAAACCCAGTTGATGATCGATTTCGCTTTGGTGTTTGGGGCAATGATACGTTTGAACATGCTTTTCCATAACGTCAATTGTTTCTAAACGTTATATTTAGCAGCGTACATGATGCAACCTTCCTGTATTACCAGCTTATATATATATATATGTATATATTCACTATCCAAAAGGTAAACAGAGCCAGCGAAAATCATGAAACGAAGGAATATATACACGGACCACAAATGAAACAGTTACCAAAAGATATTTGGTTTTTGATATTGGCTTTTTTGTTTTTTGTTCACACGCCGTTTTATATTTTTTTGTCCGTTTAGGGTTTGCGAAGTAAATCAAGCAAATCAAAACAAAGGTTTGTAAACATTTTCCACTGGGCCTGATCCTACGCCAACACTGAAAGAGTTTCTAGCCAGCGGTGTTTTTCATTTTCGATCCCCAAGCCCGGAAGCAGCACGGGACCTATGACAGCTAAACTGGAATTCAGCGCGTTAATCGTTTGTTGCCACGTGATAGGATAACCACCGCGCGATTTCTTCCATCCTGGTCTTGTGGGAGCGAAGAAAGCGCGTCGGAGCAGTCGTTCGCATGGAATGCGTAAAAAATGGCCCAGCCATCTCAGTTGGCGCAGCGGTGCCAGTCGGTCAAGTGGAAGTCTCATGCTACCCAAACCGCGACGTCTAACATCATCCTTGCGCACGTGGTTTATCCACCACATTCGTGCTATTCTCCGCAGACATCCATTGTCACAAGCCGAAATTCGACGCAAGTCATTCACACGAATCGGCCAGGACTCACTCCCGTACGGCAGCACCGCGCGAACACCAATAGTGGAACTTCGCGGCGTCTCCACAGACGTCTCAATTTGGCGAATGCCGTACAGGCTTCGGTAATGCGGAAGGAAATTGCTTTTCCAATACTACCATTAGCTGAAACACAACTTCCCAGGTAAACAAAGTTGTCCTCGTGTTCAACCTGCGTACCTTGAAGAGTGAGCACTGGGTCAGGTGCATGCCAATCCAAGACCAAAACTATGCATTTAGTAGGAGCAAATGTCATTCCATCTTTTGATACTTCAATGGCCAAGCGGTTTAGGACGGCCTGTGTACTCTGTGAGTCATCACCAAGCAGGGCAATATCATCAGCATAATCTAAATCGGTCATGCGGTTGCCAGGAAGAAGCTCTACACCAGAACCCTGAAAGACCTCCAGAGCGTTTAAAAGAACATCCTCGATCACAAAATTGAAGAGAAGCAAAGGTATGGGGCAGCCCTGTTGTACACCGCTAGTGGGGGCAAAATTTGAAGGAGTTTACCATGAGGCCTTACTTTGCCTCTGACACTGAAATATAACGCTCGAAGGATGACCATATATTTTTCGGGTACTCCATTCCTTTGTAAACAACGCCAAATAGCTGGCCGATCGACGGAGTCGAAAGCGGCTCGGATGTCCGGAAAAACAACGACAGTGGGCTAGCAGTAACGATGACGCGTTCAAAGGAGTTTGCGGGGCGTAAACAAGTGGTCGATACACCTTCGACCGAGGCGGAAACCAGTCTGTTCTTCACAGGAGAGCAATTCCCGAATCAGGGTTAGTCTGCGGAATAGAATGGATATTAACAGCTTGGAGGCAACGGGCATTAGAATGATTCCTCGGTGGTTAGCGCATAGGGTACGGACACCTTTCTTGAAGATCGGTACGATAATTGACTAGCCCCAAGTGGATAGAACTATTTCTTCACACCAGATCTTAGAGAACAGAGCTATTAGGTGGTTGACAAGGGATTCGCCCCGAACTTGAACAGCTCTAGATAAAGTCCGTATGGGTCAGCAGACTTGAATTGCTTCAACTGTCGGAGCTCCAGGCAGACCTCAACTTCAGTGGGTGGATCCAATATGACTTTCCAAGATGCGCAAATAGGTATACTCATTAGGCCCACCGGCGGAGGAGACCAGCTGAATTGAGTGTGGAAATGTTCAGCCCAGCGGTCCATGCTTCAGTGTAATTTGGTGATCGACGTTCCGTCAACTTCGCAAATGACCTCACTGACACCAGGTCTTTTGTGACCAGTTGCCCGAATGACCTGGAAGAGCTTGCGAAAGTTTCCAGAGGGCTGCCGTTTCCATCTCTGTGGTGCGCTGGGACCACCAAGTTTCGCCATCAGAAAGCTGGCTTTGCTTCACTTGTTGGCTGAGAATGCAACGCAGTGCACTGCTATTTGAATTAGTCGGGACATCTCTACGACGATCAAACGATTCCAGTGAGTGTGCGGAAATCCAACCCCTCAGAGGGCACCTTGTGACCTCGTAGATTAAATGACTGGAAGATAACATCGCTTCACACAAGAAATTCCAATGAATGTCGATGTCTTGAGGTGGAGTACTAATGAATGCACGCAGAAAGGAAGCTTGCTAAGCAACTAGTACAGTGGGATCAGCTAACAGGTAGGTGTCGAACGTTTGGAGCTTTCTTTTTAACGAGCCGCTGAAGCTTATGCAGGCGTCCGTAGAGACCAAGGCATGATCTGAATATATGTACGTAGACCAAATGAATTTACAATCCCAAACGGTACCTAGCCATTTAAAGCTGGTGGCAATTTGATCTATTTGTGATAACGTTTGCGTTGGTGAAAGAGGACGGCAGGTGGCTGCGCGTCTTCTGGCATGCCTAACGTTTGTACTTGAGAGAAAGAGATGGTGGTCTTCGCATAACGTAAGAAGTCTATCACCGTTGTCAGAACGGCTCTCATCAAGCGCACGACGTTCGCACGGAAGCAGGCGACCTGCTTGTGCATTGATATATACGGCATAGACAATTACATCTGACTTTTCGGCCTTGTTCAAAACGTTGTAGAGTCCAAGATAAAAGTCCTCCTTAACCGATGCACAACTACAGTCGGTTGGAGCGTAGGCGGAAACGACAAACAAATTGCGCCTCTCTTCACAATATCTGTTGTTGTTACATGAGCCTTGAAACCGAACCGCACACAGCTGGCTGTCGGTTGGAAACCAGTCGAGTAATGCAGCCTCCGCTTTGTCACTCAGTGCGATACTGACACCAGCTAAGCAGGCTGCTGCTGCCTCCACGTAGGTAATATATGGTCTCAAGAGCATCTGGGGACGACAACTTGACCACGGTGCTGGGGTCCAGCAATCAAGTTTCTGAAAGCCAACAAACATAGATGGCGAAGGACTCTAGAGTGCGCTCCAAGCCAGCCTGTTGTCCAATCTGTAGGAGGGTCCGAACATCGAAGGTCGCCAGGCAGAATGAAGTACGTGGTTGTAGGATAGATGATGGCTAAATGATTTGGATATGTGCAAGACGGACATTGGGAATAGCTTCAACAGGTTGTGGATTATCAACAAGAGAAAAGTTGGCGTGTTATGGAGAAGCACGAGTAGCAGAAAAGTAGTAGCAGAAGTAAGCGACGTAGTAGTAATTGCGAAATCTATGGTTACGTAGACCAGACCCGGACGCAAGCAAGATCGAGAAGAAGGGCGTACGTAAACATCATTCAGGCCCCAGTGTGTAGATTCATAAATGGTTAGCAGCATCCGTGTCCGGATTTACCTGTCACCGAGGCCTCCATAAGACAGCAACAGGAAACCTGCTTCTACACCTGGATCGTAGGTGGTTTAGGCTTCACAACCACAGCTCTATTCAAGCACCCCTTATCCAGAGTCAATCCGAAAGAATAAGACCGGGCTGCATGTGCATGGGAGCCATGTTTCATCAACGGAGCCCGCCCACGGTACTTCAATATGCACAGCAGCAGCAGCAGCAGCAGCAGCAGCAGCAGCAGCAGCAGCAGCAGCAGCAGCAGCAGCAGCAGCAGCAGCAGCAGCAGCAGCAGCAGCAGCAGCAGCAGCAGCAGCAGCAGCAGCAGCAGCAGCAGCAGCAGCAGCAGCATTCCTGTCTATCTGCGGGGAAGCAAGCCTACCAGGCGTAAACAAGGCGGTGGCTGTGACTTAGCCAGCTCGATACGGGATGAAACCATTCCTTGAGCCTAGCACAGCTAGGTGGAGCATGCATCGCGTTCCTTCCAGCATCGATTCACAATCTCCTGGAGCCAGTATAGACGAGGTGGAGGGTGTTAGACTGGTAGGCACGTTGACAAAATTCACATCAAGCGCGGTCACACTGGGGATATTAAATGACCAAGACAGAATTGGAGGGAAAGCAAGCGAGCAAAATTCACAAGGGATATGCACTAGAATAACATACTTAAACAAAGCAAATAGAGCGGGATGATTGTTATCCAGATTAAAACGGGCTAGTTTAGGTGTAAGTTGGTTTAGTCTAAGAGATGACAGAGCACACAATGTAAGAAGGCGGAATGAGAGGTGGAGAACAATTCAGTGTATGGCAGTCACGATCGAGGGTAGGGCTTACTGTCGAGCCCACTGCTTCCACAGTTCGGGTTACATTAGTTTGATCGTAATGTGACTTGAAGGTCGACCGATTTCGCTGTACATCTGCTTCCTAGTTAATAAAATACTAGCTTCGATTACAAAAAAGGATGTGTATTTTTGTTTGCAAAACGTTCATTTTAAAGTGAAACTCGGTGGGACATGACTATCCAATTAGCGATACCTTCCTTATTGTTGTTGCGCAACACCGCTCACCGTAAGCCGCTTTGCATTCGAAAGTTTAGTAAAGCGTAATTCGCTTCAAAACACATTTGAATTCATATTGAACCTTGAATACGATCAATCAGAGCAGGTTACTTCATGTCATATAAAGATTCAGAGTATAGCCACTTCAGCCTAAAAGTAAAAATAGTGATTTCGTCGCAACAGATTCCAAATCAGTCGATCCTCCACATGCTCTTGAAAAATGTGTTTCTGGATATCTGGAGGACTATCGAATTTGGAAGCTTTTGCGACGAACTCACAAATTATTGCACTTGAGTACACAAAAGAAGGAACGTCAAAGTCACATTTACACGGCCAGCAACTTAATCAAGCTGATCTTTGCCAAAATCTGTGACTCAAAACCCCAACTTCTTTGCAAGTGTGGTGGTGGCAGCTCAAATCACATGACGTATACCACATTGCTAGTATATAAAACAATGAGCAGTCTCTTCACCACTTTCGAATTCGTTTTGATTGCCTGATTGGCTGGTGCTACGACAAATCACCCACAGATTCTTGAAACCCAGCTACTTGCTAATGATATCGCCGTTACATCCTTCACTGACATAAGGATGTGCAGTCTCCACCATAATGAACACACTTGATGATTGATGTACATCAAGGTACGTGCGGGCGAAAGTAGCTCTGTCTTCGTCCTCTAACCTGCCTATGTTGTACCATGGATTTGACAACAACATTCCTATCACATTTGCATGTATGCAAACAAATGGGGCGTTAGCGGTGGGGAGTCCTTGTTATAGTCCTCAATCGAGGGGCGTCATTCCTTACATACTAAGCAAAAGAAAACGTCCTGGTTGCTTGCGTCCAGATAAACTGACGAGGTTGTCAATATAAACAGCCCCCTATAATCCGATTAATACAGACAAGCGGGAAGTCACCTCCAGAGAAGTCAGAGATAAATCAACATCGCGTATTCAGCCAAAACTTAAAATGAAACTTACCCGAACTCTGTGCTATGACACAAATTGCGATCAGACACCCACAAAAGATTGATTTATTCGAAGATTTCATGATCATGTACCATATGAAACTGATCTGTCGTGCGTAAAGTTTATATACTTTGTGGTCACGCCTAATTGATGCCGAAAGCACGTGCGTAGTTTGGAAAACCTGGCCGATTCCAATAATTATACGTGATCTGTTTTGTAAAGTTGTCAAGCCTACAACGATGCAGCAAGTTTGCTAGAGAAACGTGTTCTAATCAAATGTTACGTAACAGAAACGTTAATTATTAGTAACGTGCTTTGACCAGGCGACTTGAAAATATACTGCAACCGGTGCACATAGTGTGGACAGTTTGTAGAATAAACGAAATACAAAGCAAGGTGCATGAGCTTTAAACTAACAGTTGGACAGCAGTTGTTGCCAGTACTTTCTCATTTCGCAATTGTGGTTGAAAACCTTTGAGATGACCCAAGAATGTGACCCAGTGTGCCTGCGTACATTATGTCGAACTTTGTCACATGTAGTCCCGAAGCCAGGAAACACCTGATATCTTGAAATGCTGAGACCCTTCTAGTTATGCAAAAATGAAAGCGAAGATTGAAGGAGTCGAAACCAGCAGGATCATGTATGGGATCTATGTCCCTATGTAGCAATAACTGCTTCGAAGTCAGCTTTCTCATACTTTGAAGTTAGAAAACGATGATGGTCTTGCTTCAACAAGGCGGCGGATATTAAGTCACCAATCAGTAGGTTGTCAGCGACCCGAGGAGCAACATCGAACCACATCCAACTTTTTAATATTTTATTGAACTGACCCACTCTTTGACGATGTTTCAAACGCAGCTCATTGGGTGTCGGCATTAGGTAGTGACCACATTCATTCGCCAATCAACAGGTTCCCTATTTTAGCAGCTGTGGCTGTAATGTTGTAATAAGCTTACATAATTACATTAGGTAATCAGCTGTCCGATTCATAATATGCAGTCTGTTGACCAGTTTGCACCTTCTATTGCTCTTACAGCAAATGTTCGTTTTTTCACCAACACTGGCTTTGCGACATTTAACGCTCACTAAGCGTCAACAAAGGAGTCACTTAACGCAAGATTTTTTCTTTAATGTCCACGGTCGTAGAATGCAGAACCGCAGACTAAACATAATGAGCCTTAGGTGCATACCCACCAATAGCAGGCTCTCAGTATTCTAAGTTTTAGACATCAAATGTTATACAGTGAACATGCGCTCTGATAACTTGAACACCAACAGCCTAGGGTAGATTCAATGTGTCTGATTGATTATCTCGACTAAATCAATACTGCATCGTTTCAGCGCAGCTGCGCTTAATTCTCATGATCAAAATTCGGATTCGGTGCGGAGATAGTTGCAGCGAGCAATGTGAACCAATACAAATTATTGCGCTCGTACCTCGTTCAGCGAAATCTGGTTTTGTGAAACTTCATGAGAGTCCAGAAGGTAGACTATAGAAGTAAAGAAAAGAAAAAAAGGCTTTGTAAGTGAATAATTTATAGGAACCATACAGGATTCGGTGGATGATACTGAAGTACATGCGAAACAATAATAATATCCCATTGTTATGTTTCAGATAACTGCCATAGTCGTTGCTATGCAAGTCTGTTGCGTGTAACTTATATCGTGCACTGCTTGGCTGGTCAAATCATACTGGATAAACTATGTGAACACTTCCATAAAGCACACCTGAACCTATTTGATTACGCGATATTGCACGTTTGAGAAATATTTGACTAACAGGAATAAATCTCGCGTGCTATGTTGTCTGTTTTTCTGAGAGGAGTGGTTCTGTTGCTTGATGACGATATCCTGGCCATTTCGATCTGATAGACTTCATTTCAGAGTGTACCATGGGATGCTATCCAGTGTAATTGATCGATCGCCAGCGTATTCTGAACAGAGAGCATTGTACTTCGCAAACGTACAGGCAGTATTAGTTCGAATAAAGACTAAGTGGCATTTTCCCGGAAGGTTTGACGTTTAGCTGCGTTAAACTTCTGCATCGACACTAGCTGCTGTGGCGTACGTCGTGTTCGAAGTCTGTCATGTATAATAAAAAAGCTTTGGTTGAAGCTGAACTCAATGTCACCTCTAAGGATATTATATGCAACTTTTACGGTGAGCTCGGTAGGAAAATTATACATATCCCCTTGTAGATTCACGTCAAGGAGGCGTTGCAGAAAATCTCTCGGAAAATGGAAAAGGACAAGGAAAAGTTAAGCAAATGTCTATAGGTTTTGATGAAGTCATCAAACAAGGTGAACGTGGCTGGGGTTTAGAGGCAAGTAACCTTGCCATCCGATTTAAGCAATCACGCAATGGAATCTTTGTCAAAGAAACCAATGAGGTTACAATGGTATTTTACACTAGTTTTACTAAGATACAATTGCCAATCAAGTGGGTCGTTATAAGTAAGTGCGAGAACATAGGGGAAGGCGAACAGCGTCCGGTCAAGAAACCAAAGGCATAAAAGGAACATTTTTATTCCAACTTACAAAGTACCTACGGTTATAAGGATTTGACCATTAGGTATCATCGTTGCGGTGTTCGTTGGTAAATTGCACTCCTTGAGTTGGAATCAGCATTGCCCAACAGATGACTCCATCTTATCAGCGATTTCATTTCGTCGTTCTGGGGCAGGAATTGATAAAAAACAATTGATCGAAACTGGTTTATATATAGCTACATATGTGGTGTTCTTCTCGACGACATGAGATGCTGCTAACTGCGGAAGGGACCTGAAGTATATTGTACCATTAGCTACACAAACAATCTAGTGAGAATCGTAATTTTATGACTATTCATGAAGTGGGGTCATGATATTTACGCAAACAGCGTGGTCAACGGTGCATGAAGTTTGGCCAATGTATAGCCAAAACAACAGATAGTTTCGGGTTCTTGTTGAACTTTTGAGACTGTACCAACAGTAGTTTGTTGACTGACCAGGCTCTGACGCGGAAATTGTTTCAGCAGGTAGCTGTCTTCATAAATTTTGTCGGTATTTCTTTCGAGCTAATAAACAATATTACAGTGTTACAAAGTGCCCAAATAAACATTAAGTGTGTAGCAACAAAAGAACCTTTAACCGAAGTCATCAGAAGTTGGCAAATACAACAATGAACCTGTTCAAGAATTTATCGACGAAAAATTGAGTGGGATAAAAGGATGCTCGTGTTTTTAACTTAAAGTGAACCTCAAACAGGTAAACGATTTCTTCACGTAACAACAAAAGGCGTGATGTACTTTCGCCGGGCTCTTTACTACGGATGGTTGGTTGACGGTAACTTTTAGAAACCGGCTGATGAGCAGAGAGATGAGGATAGCAGTTATAACTTAAGACGTGCCTGTCAATGAATACTGAAACATTAAAAATTTCAGGACCACTGTGTAAAAATTGTATGTGCTGTGTTATGGTTCCGTAGTTTGCAGGATAAATGAGTTAGCTGGGAGCACGCGATATAAGGCTACTGCCACGATTCAAAGAGAAATCAGAACACAAAGTTGTAAGTAAAGTAAGACCAGTCTCCAAATGAAGCGGAAAAAATCTGAAGTAAAATGACGGGAATTTAAGATTTGGATTTGAATCTTTCGGTGCAGCACTATCGATGTATGAAACCGGTTGAATGACGTACTCAGCTGGTCACCATTTGTTGCTCAGCTGTATCTCCATGTTCTACAACGGGAAACAACTTGGATTTATTATTTTCACCCATTTGAGCTGTGAGCCAACACGGAGTGCATGGCTGCTGCATTACAACAAATGGATCCGTTATCTTGGTAGTTAAAAGTGCAAAGTAATTTTTAATATTGTTACTATAACCCCACCAAACCACTCAAAGTGGTTTGAATATAGTGTTGCCTTATCCGTATGAGTTCCTTGTTAAATGTCGTCCTATTACGTTAGCCGGAATTCGTGTGATCTAACGGTCGAATGTTAACGTGACGCTGGCCGCGAGACCTGAGTGTTGTATCTGTGACTTTACTTGAGATACCGATGCAGCACCCTCCAATAAAAGCATTTCACGACACACATTGCAAGTCGATGGGATAGCAAGCTCGGACTACAGGGAAATGACACCAGGGAGGTTGTGGAGAAATGTTACATGGTTCAGATGACGACTACTGAAAATTGATACCGTTTAGACGATTTGCAATGGTATAGACCTTTAGAGTAAGTCGACCCATGAGGTAAGATCGTAAAAAGAACTACTGATGGCCTGGTATAAAATCTGAAAATATACCGAGATATTGCACTCATTACTTCCAAGTGGGCGTAAAAAGCACCTTCAGACAAGACCAGCGAGTGCGTTATATGTTATCTATACAACAGCGCAAAAATGGCTATTTTGTTAGAGTGCATATCATGAGTACCGCATTCAGGGTAAATGCACTGATCATAAATACGGCATAATCTCCGAAGCTGTTCACCACTATGTACTGATCACAACTAAGTTGACTGAGTTACTTCCGTTGATTGAACGTTCACCAAGTAAACCTTACGGATCTAAACATCTGTGCGTTGACCACTTCCGTATGTTGACAACACTGGTCTAGTTCTTTGAGTGGGCAACTTACGGCAGTGTTACTGTGCTTAATTTTTATGCTTGGGGACTGTGAAGGTCTAAATTTGAAGCTATAACTTCTAATAGGCCACAAGAAAAGCAACTAATTCTAGTATTGTGAATAAATATTTAAACTAGCTACCAGCTCTTGGTGTGTGATGAGCGAGTAACACATTACTGCACTGACGGAGCCGAAATCCGTTGATGAATTTAGCAATGAAGAACAACTGTATACAATTAAAAAGCGTTTTCCTAACTAGATTAAGTTTGGAACCGATGGGATTTCATATCTTTGGTATGTTTTATAATATCAATCGGTTTTATATAGCCTTGTATTGTGGCTACATTTTGCCCTTACACCAGACCTGCTTGAAGTCATTTTGTAATGGATGCTATGTTTCCACAATACAAGCTTATACGAAACTGATATATATATATATATATATATATATATATATATATTCTAAAACATACAGAACGAGG